TGATTTGATTTTGTGCGACCACTTCAACAAATAAAATTGAGTCAACGCAGCACATTTTTTTTTCAATGTGATGAATATATGGGACACCGGTGTCAAAATGCTGCATTTATGTACGCGTGGGAATTTTAACTCTCGCTCGTTAAAGTGTTGACTTTTCTTCTCGTAGTATTGCAACAGTTTTTGTCCTCATTATGTAACTTTACTCCTTGATTGTTCAGACACCACCCCCGCCCCGAAAAACTATAACTTAATCCACATGCGAATCTTTTTTCTCAAATCTTCAAGAGTTTCACCTGTCAGCCAACCAGAATTTGTTTTTTATATCATGTGATATTAACAATTCAACGTGCAGTATATCTGGTGCTGAGGGAGACAGTCTCAGACTTCATTTATGTAACATTTTTGACACAAGCATTTTTACAACCTTTTTTTTCGTGTCACATTATTACCTCATTCTGAGAACAGCTTTGATTTTATTGTGATGGTTTAATTTGCTCTTGGGGTATCATGATTACCCCAATAAATGAGTAATATCGCCAATTACATTTCATAACATTTGGATGTTCTCTGTTCCTGCATTAAAGTCTTTCATTACATATAAAACTCTGGAAAAGAAGATGAGCAAGTGTGTAACTCTTCGCACAGATAAAAGTGCCACCATTCCACCATCCGATATAAAATGCAGTGACGTGGAGGTGCTCTGACAAACCGAGCCGATTCCAGCAGTAGACAATCACTTGATGATAGTAAGTGGATATAATGACAGCAGTTCAATAAAGTGCTGATGCATGGTGACATCATGTTAGCTTTTCTAAAACTCTGGAAAAGAAGATGAGCCAGTGTGTAACTCTTCGCACAGATAAAGGTGCCCATTCCACCATCTGATATAAAATGCAGTGACGTGGAGGTGCTCTGACAATGAAGGGTTGCGAGGAGATTTCATCCAGGCTCCTGAAGCCAGAGCAAGCCTGGCTAATCGTCAAGATATGTGCGCCTAAACCAGCATCCCCTTCAAAATGATTGGAAACGTGAGGTCAATTTCTTTCTTTTTGCGATAGATTGAAAACGTTTGGAATTGACATCAAAAGATGAACATGAGACAAGAGACCCAACAGCTGAGCTTTTATTTCCAGGTATTTACGGCGCATCTGGATCTGATACATAACCTCAAAAGTCAAAGCATTATTTGTAACAAATGCTGCATATTTTTAGGTGAGGACTGTAACGGTCGGTCGCACCGTTACAATCCTGGCAACCGGTTCAGGGTGTCCGAAGGCGGGTGGGAAAGGCTTTAGCACACCCCACGACCCTTGTGAGGATAAGCGGATCCTAAAACTCTGGAAAAGAAGATGAGCCAGTGTGTAACTCTTCGCACAGATAAAGGTGCCCATTCCACCATCTGATATAAAATGCAGTGACGTGGAGGTGCTCTGACAATGAAGGGTTGCGAGGAGATTTCATCCAGGCTCCTGAAGCCAGAGCAAGCCTGGCTAATCGTCAAGATATGTGCGCCTAAACCAGCATCCCCTTCAAAATGATTGGAAACGTGAGGTCAATTTCTTTCTTTTTGCGATAGATTGAAAACGTTTGGAATTGACATCAAAAGATGAACATGAGACAAGAGACCCAACAGCTGAGCTTTTATTTCCAGGTATTTACGGCGCATCTGGATCTGATACATAACCTCAAAAGTCAAAGCATTATTTGTAACAAATGCTGCATATTTTTAGGTGAGGACTGTAACGGTCGGTCGCACCGTTACAATCCTGGCAACCGGTTCAGGGTGTCCGAAGGCGGGTGGGAAAGGCTTTAGCACACCCCACGACCCTTGTGAGGATAAGCGGATCGCTTGGGGGATACAGTATATATATATATATGTGGCTAAAATATGGCTTTGATCATTATTTTAGGAAGGTGATGAAATTGTACACCACAGTCGTATTTTGGGAATCCTCCTTCTTCATGCACATGTGCTTGAGGACAGCATCTGTGAATTTCCAAGAAATGGCCACTGCACTGTTCCATGTATAGTAAGAACATTCTGGGCCATTTTAATGTGCTGACAGAACATCCCACCTCGGTAGGGCTTGAACTTCATCACCTCGCCACGGTCGGTGCATGGCGAGACATTTGGAGGTCAATATGTCACTTGGCTTCCTTTCGGATCTGCGGCACGACTTGACCTACTTTACAGATAACGAACGAGGCTCCGAAGCGTTTCTTGGACACATTTGACCCGAGATAAATCCAAGTTTAACCATCTATTGTTGTCATCCTGTCGATAACCATTGCTTGCAACTTCACTGGGTCTATTTTTCTGATGATGATCTCATTCATGAAAGTTATATCTAATTCTTGCGAGGCCCTATCTATGAGATTCCTTACATTCCTACACATGTTTTTGCTCAATAAAACCAGGTGGGAGTTGAATATTTTCCAGTAGCTGTGTGGCACAGACTTCGTTTAAGCTGCAGGTGATCCCACTTGAAACACGTGCTGGGATTCCCTGTCTGCACCGCTCGTGATCATGTTTGTCTCCTATTTCACGACCAATACCCCAGAGCCTGTAATGTATATATTTAAGTGTAGTTTGCGGGAAGTATAAATCGGTACATGATGTGTAATTGGGAACAAATCCTGTGCCCTCTCACAGTTGTGTTGCATTAACCTAAATTACTTTCTTACCGTTGTACCAAAGAGTGTAGGATCCAGACTGAAAAAGAAAAGTGAAATTATTTGTCAGGAGCAGAATAAAGTCAAATTACTATGCGAAAAATGTATGATAAAAATGTGTGATGTTAGAAGCAAAAATGTGCGAGAGCAACGATGAAGATGTACTTGCGCTTGAAAAATCTGTTGGTTGAATTGACTCCATTTTATTTTGTCGTGTGGTTGCGCAAAATGAAAACATCTGGATCCAGATGCAATTTTTTTTTTTTTTTTTTTAGTCAATGTTTAGTCTACTTAGAAATCCGAATTCAGATGATTTGATTTTGTGCGACCACTTCAACAAATAAAATTGAGTCAACGCAGCACATTTTTTTTTCAATGTGATGAATATATGGGACACCGGTGTCAAAATGCTGCATTTATGTACGCGTGGGAATTTTAACTCTCGCTCGTTAAAGTGTTGACTTTTCTTCTCGTAGTATTGCAACAGTTTTTGTCCTCATTATGTAACTTTACTCCTTGATTGTTCAGACACCACCCCCGCCCCGAAAAACTATAACTTAATCCACATGCGAATCTTTTTTCTCAAATCTTCAAGAGTTTCACCTGTCAGCCAACCAGAATTTGTTTTTTATATCATGTGATATTAACAATTCAACGTGCAGTATATCTGGTGCTGAGGGAGACAGTCTCAGACTTCATTTATGTAACATTTTTGACACAAGCATTTTTACAACCTTTTTTTTCGTGTCACATTATTACCTCATTCTGAGAACAGCTTTGATTTTATTGTGATGGTTTAATTTGCTCTTGGGGTATCATGATTACCCCAATAAATGAGTAATATCGCCAATTACATTTCATAACATTTGGATGTTCTCTGTTCCTGCATTAAAGTCTTTCATTACATAATTTTAAGACTTTATTCTTGCAGTTTTGCATCACCCCCGCCCCCTCCATGTTTATGTCTTGTTGATGTCTGTAAATGTCACAAGTGGCATTTTAGTGTTCATTTAAAACACGCGTACTGTGTAGTCACTTAGTGTCCGGTGCATTATGCTCACTCATTCCACAGCGTTTCTCCTGGAAACCATTCAATGTTATCTGTTGCCATCTCTGTGAAGAAGCTAATGAAAAACAGGACCCACTTTTTTTTTTTTTTTTTAATGGACTTTGTGCTTCATAAAGCATAGTCCCTTTTATTTCCAGCGTCTAGAGCAGCCTCTTCCAGTCAGTGGCGAGACTTCAGCCAATGCTCACTTTTCAAGAGCGTTTAATAGATCTCCACAAATAATACAATTGATTTTCCTGTATGGCCTGTGTATAAAATGTACCTTTGTGTGGGTTTTTTTTTTTTTTGGTTTATTTGTTTTTTTTAATGTACCCTAATGTGTCACTCACATGGACTGTGTCTCTGTGAATTCAAAAATTTCAACAGAGTGTCACATGTCACCCAAGACGTTTGACCAGCAAAACACAATCTGTAATGATTTGCACACATTCATACTTTAATAATCAGCATCTCTGCTGAGTATCCATCCATCCATTTTCTGATCCACTTTATCCTCACAAGGGTCACCGGGGCGTGCTGGAGCCTATCCCAGCTGTCTTCGGGGAGTAGGCGGGGGACACCCTGAACCGGTTGCCAGCCAATCGCAGGGCACACAGAGACGAACAACCATCCACGCTCACACTCACACTCACACCTAAGGACAATTTTGGAGTGTTCAATCTGCCTGCCATGCATGATTTTGGAATGTGGGAGGAAACCGGAGTACCCGGAGAAAAGCCACGCAGGCCCGGGGAGAACATGAAAAACTCCACACAGGGAGGTTGGAGCCAGGATCGAGCCCATGACCTCTGCACTGTGAGGTCGACGCGCTAACCACTGGACCACCAGGCCGCCCCTCTGCTGAGTATGATGTATTTGTTACATAAATATTGATTTGGAACTGATATAGATGTTCGTGGCACAGTTCCTTGAGGTTATATTGCGTTTCGGTGTTGGATACCCAAAACACAGGCCTCCATTGGTATGAAGCGATATTTCTTGGTCACGTCAGTTTGTCCCGGAACAAGCAACAGGTGCCAACTGTCATGGTGGCGACATATTTCTTTCGTAAAGCATGAGTATCACTGTGTCTTTTCTATCTGCATCAATGAAGCGTCGCATCGCCAATTGCCAAGTGGTGACTCAATGTCTTGCAACAGGCGACTCTCCGGCCAGTGAAAAACAAATTGTTCCAACCAACTGCAAAATGGAGGCATCATTTCCAGTTCTCAAGTGAAGTGGGCACATGGAGATTTTTCTCCAAAGGCTTTTATTGCATCCCCTCCAAGTCTGTGAATTCAAAAATTACAACAGAGCGCACTTCGTGGCTGATTAAGATATGTGTAAGACAATGACCTTTTGTCATTTTACACGTGTTAGCCAGATGTGGTGTACGTCCCCAAAACATAATCCATAAGGACTTTAAATAGATTCTGACATGTTGAGACATTCCAATGTGGCCTAAATGTTGTACAAATTTGGTGAAGCCACCCCACTTTATGGGATGGCCCAAAAAAAAAAAAAAAAAAAAAGGAAATTTCTCAGAAAAGGTGGAAAGAAGTAGCAAGTCATCAGACTTGAACAGTTCCGGGAACCCTCGCCTCCCCTTCCTCATGCCACATGTCTTTCCATGCCCGGTGAAATGAAGGGTCCCTCCGCCGCTCCAGTCATAATTCTTGCTGTCATGTCTGAGCATTAACGGTAAATCCTGAAATATGCACAAGCGATGTTGTCTCGAGGGAACATGTGGAGATTCCACAGTTCTGAGTAGGGGTCGGCCCGGATGTCTCATGTCTGCACAAGAGGGCTTTCCCCGATGGAAAAAAAAAAAAATGAAGAGAGTGAGTGATTGTATGATGAGGTGATATTGCAGAGATTGACTGTAAGTTTCAGTTATTTATTTTATTTTATTTACTGACATTTTTGTAGAAAATAATTTCCTGAGACTCTCTGATGTACAGCCAGCAGCAAATGTTCAGAAAGACATTTATCTATTTATATCGCACGTGTGCATCACCCCACACCTGCATGCATCACTTTTTATAGCTCGCGTAAGTTTCAAGATAAAATCTATGATCTGTGAATCGCATTCGCTTTTCTTCCACGTACACTAGATTGAGTCTAACGAAGACTGACAGTGGACATGCAGTAGTTGCGGAGCAGTTCGGGAATTCGAAAGAGCCCGTGTCTGTTGTAACCAAAAATTCTACTGACGTAATTCTGCCAATGCTGACCGTGCGAGTTTTCAACATTTGGGTCCAACTAAACGTCATTTTATTCTATACTGTCCCCATTTCATGAGCGGCACACACCACAAAAACCACACCAGCCTCACTTTGCTTTTTGTTTTGTTTTACTTCAATTTCTCATTCCACTGACAATTTGCTTGACTGTCCGGACAATCATCAGCATTATAACTGGGCTAAAAATGGATGAGCTGCCCTGTGATCGCTCAGCGACCAGTCCAAGGTGCAGCCGGCAGGGATCGGCTCCATTTCACCAATGACCTGAATGAGGACGAGCACGGAATTTCTTTCCATTCAGATGCAATGTCCTTGTTCCAACCTCTTGCTGTCAGGCAGAATTTATGGAGCATTAATAATTTAAGTTCAACAGATTGCGGGCAGCCTGATGGTCAGCGCAATTCCGGGGACATCCTGTACTGGTTGCCAGCGAATCGCAGGGCACACAAAGACGACCAACCATCCACGCTCACACCTAGGGACAATTCAGAGTGTTCAATCAGCCTGCCATGCATATTTTTGGATTGTGGGAGGAAACCGGAGTACCCGGAGAAAACCCACGCAGGCATGGGGAGAACATGCAAACTCCACACCCATGACCTCAGCACTGTGAGATCGACACGCTAACCAGTGGGCCACCAGGCTGCCCAATTTCAAATGTTTGATTGGTTAATCTTTCAATACTTTTGGCACAAAAGTCACAACAGGTGTCTGGTCCATGAAATTTCCTGAGACGTCCACTGTGTGTTTCTGTGACTCTTCCAGTCTCAGCATCTCTGTTGCAAATTACTGATGATGATGCTCTATGACACTCAAAGCTCAGTAGCCACTTCCATCTGATAAGTTTGAATGGAAAAAAAAAATCACAACAGGTGTATGATGCATCAATCAAATTCTTATCCTGTATCCTAAATCATTTTCCATGTGTCACAGTAGGCACCCCCAGTCATTATTGTGCTGAGCGGCACAATTTGGGGGTGCATGCCTGCTGCCTGCAGCACTTAGCAAGGGTAGGCCTATATGATTTCCAGACCAGGATACGGACACACAGATGAGAGAGGGAGAGAGAGAGGGAGAGAGAGAGAGACAGAGAGAGAGAGAGAGAGAGAGAGAGAGAGAGAGAGAAAGACAATACAGTCATTTCTCTTTTCGTTGTTGCCAGTTTGTAAGGTATAACTTAATTAATGCTGGTTTTGCAGACTGCGATTTAGCCGCAATGTATGGCATATGTTGATCTCATAAGTGAATGGGGTGAAGTGATGCAAATGGAATTTTCAAACGTGGTCAAAGCTTTTATTTCCACACACATATAGACACACATTAAGGGAAAACCATGTACCAGGATGTCCGAGTGGTGAAGGCGTTGGACTTAAGATCCAATGCACTATAGTTCTCGTGGGTTCACACCCCACTCCTGGTAAAATAATCATAGTCGGAGTTCAACTGAACTCATAAAAGTTGCATGTTTTTTTTTTTTCGCACAAACATATCCTCAATTTTCCAGCGATTGGCTGGCAACCAGTTCAGGGTGTACCCCACCTACTTCCCGAAGACAGCTGGAATAAGTTCCAGCATGTCCACAAACCCTTATGAGGACAGAAAATGGATGGATGGATATATAAACATGGCAAGAGTCCAATTTCTTACCATCACCGCTATGACATCACGTTTTTTCTTTTATAGCTTTGATCTGTTTTACATTGACTTACGAGCTGTGCAGAAACACATCCGAAGGCCAATTGTGTCAATATAAGTGGGTCAATGTCCTGAAGAAACAATGGAATGTGACCTACATTTAGAATGACCTTGGAATTACCTTTCAACAACATCATTTTACAGCACCATATGCTCGCCCGTTCAGCTAGCCATTCTCATGAATCGACAGATGTGTGAGCTAAGCCCCAAACATACAGAGTGATCAATCAATGGCTTCATAATTTTGGGGTTTGGCGCAAAAGGGAAAGAAGGCGGGGCATCTTGCTGCAGATTTAAGGTTGAGACGTTCCGGTTTAATCTCCGCACATAAAACGTTGACGTCTTGAAAAGCTCCACGTTGAGATGAGACGACACCTCCAACAACACAAGGACGATTTGGAGCCGATAATCGGCTTTCTACGTGATGCCTCCCGACAAGTTGGAAGGTGAATTCTTCACGGTTTATTCTTCTTTTTTCTTTGCTTTTTCCAAACAAGCCAATGCAGCACTGACAGTTTTGGGGCAAATCCAGACAAACGAAATTATAAAGCCAGTGAGTGTTCTAGTGGTTAACGCATCTGCCTCACAGTGCTGGGAGTTTGGGTGAAGCCCACCTGCGTGGAGTTGGCAGGTTCACCCCTTCGTGCTTGCGCAGGCTTTCTCCCCGCCTCTTGCCCAAACTCATCTTGAAAAAATAAATGAAGAAGTGGATGCAGACATAAATCAATAAATCATATCTCGCTGAAACACTTTGGCCTCACCTGAAATCGTGTCAGAGTGATCCAATTTAGAGTGTTCAATTGAAACGAACCATTCAATAATCTTAAATTTCTGTTATCGCCTATTATTGATCTCATTTGACTTGGATCCATGTCAATAAACATCTAAATAACAAAATCTGACTGACTGTCAAAGGGTATGTCTCTGTTCAATTTGAAGTGGGTATTGACCTTACTTTCAAATAAAATCAATTTGTTGGAAGAACGAATAAGATATAGACATTTTAAATTGTCTAAACGAATGTAAAAAAAATAATGTTTAAACAAGGATAAAATAAGACCCCGATTTTTCTGGCAGGATTTGTTGATTGATCGCACCAGTTGAGCGGCGAACAGCAGGGAGCTATAACATGTCAATCATTGCCACAGAAGAAGCCACAATGAGAAAACATAGTGTCAAAGCATCTTTATTGATATTTCCCCACTTCAGCTCTGTCTTAAATAATCATTTTATTGTGTGAACATTACAACCGCGGCAGTCCGGTAGCCAAGCTAGCATGTGTAGCGTTGTTAGCCCTTTGACAAATTAGCCAGATGGAGGTAGAGGAACTTTCTCAATGCTTACTCTTCATTGCTTTGTTCAAGTAGTTGTTATGAAAATGCCCCCAAATTGTACAATAATTTAAAGAATAAAAGAAAAGACTTTTTTTTTAGGTAGGGTCCAAAATCCTCATTGTTTTCTTTTCCATCTTCGTTAAAAAAAAAAAAAAAAATTGACGCTTTTCAAGCGTGTGACAGTCACATGGACTGAAAGGATTTTTTTTGAGATCTTGAATTTCAGTCAATATTTTGACTGCAGTCGGAGGCAGGACAGCCTCACTGTCATATTCCGTGATTATTGCCAAGCTAAACTCCCCCCCTGCTTCCATTCACCCTACATGTCTTGTTCTCTTATGTAAGGTTTGGACGCCTTACTATAGTGCTGTGACTTAAAGTGAATACTGGGGGCACAGACGTGATGGGCATGTTTCTTCCACAAGTAATTTATAGAGTCAAATGTAAGCAGTTATCAAATGGGAATTTAGTTTTCCAACGACTCTTGGTAGGTTTATTTTGGCTTACAACGGTATCATAATGTCGAGCATTTGGCTCACAATTGTGTCTTTTATTTCGTCAATTTGGTAGCGGGTTTATTCCACACACAAAGTAAAAACAAGCAAGAATTTCCCCTTGACCTCTCAGATTTTCTTCAGATTTTTTAGGTGTGGTTGGAAATTGGATTGCGGGTTGACAAATGGACACTAGTCATGTCATTATTTATTTCTCAGAACCTTTTCGTGTACCTGTCACAACTATAACAATATTTAGAGGAACAGAACGTTACTGTTGAAAAGATAAGAAGGAAAAGGGTTGGGATGAGAAGCAGCACCTCCAAATTTAAGATTGTGGTCCACAGTCCGAAATGTTGGAGTCCACCAAGCCAGGGATGAGATGCTGCCCCAAGTGGAAGATTTCCAACTTTTTCATCTAATTTGTACTCATTGACGGAAAGGTCCCCCTACATTTTGTTCGACGGCATAGTCCTCACAAAAAGTGTGACAATGATGAAAATTTTTCATCTGCAAAATTACCACTGGCAAATCGCTATCTCTCATTTAGCAGAAAGTTTGCTAGCACATAAGGTGCATCACACAAGTTCCCAGACTGGTGGCAGAAAAGCTAGAGTATATGCTAACTTCACACTCCAAACTATAAATAGTAGCGCCAGACCTGGAACTTTTTCAACACAGCTCATTAAGACGTTTCAGAACATTTTGATGTAAACCTTTTTTCTTTCCATCTCCTACCACACCTTAAAAATGAAGAACATCTGAGAGGTGAAGGGAAAACCCCTTGATTTATTTTTAATGGAATGACCCAGCATGGATATTTTTCCACGGCCGCTCACACCTGTGTTGATCAGATGAAGTGTCAACAAACGTTTTGCCTGAAGGATGAGAGAGGAGGTCAAACTCTTTTGACGATCGAAACACATGGAGAACTTGACTCGTGCCCGTCACCTGTCAGCAAAAAAATGCTCACATTGCTTCAGGGGCAATTGTGTCTGCGGAGGAACAGCAGCTGACAAGTTCCACCTTATATCGTTAGCTTAATAGCATAGCTGCCCCTCGTCATATTTTAATGTTTTTTTACAAAAAAAAAAAAAAAAAAAACAACAGGTGGCACCACATCACCTCCAATTTTAGCATCACTTCATTACCTCCTCGTCTGTTTTAGAATTGATTTTGAGATTACTGTTAAGGCTCATATGGGATTGGCTCCGAGCTGCAGATCTGAACTTTCAACCACCTATGAGCCAGCCCACAGTCTCGGATCCTCGGGCGAAGGCCTTCTGGTTGTTCGCCTCGGCTTTGGAACAACCTAACTACGGAGGTGAGAAAGACAAAATCGGTGGTATCACTGTGTCGCGCATTTGCCTCCCAGTGCTCGTGCAGCCGACGACACGAGTGCGGACGAGTGGCAGAGCTCGCCATGTGCCTGTGAAACGATAAAGCCTTTTTTTTTTTTGAGACTTTTTTTTAAATCTTTTTCAGAACCATCTAACCGTTTCTATTTTTTCATGCATGCAAAACCATGCGTGTGGGGTCATTGAAGACTCTAAATTGCACTTAGGTGTGAATGTGAATGCGAATGGTTGAATGGCAAGCAGTTCAACTGATGGATCAAGCAATAATTGCAAAAAAAAAAAATGGTAGCATTTATCGCTTTTGCCTAAGTAAAGGAGTTCATCGGTGACCAATCATTGTCATTTCTCAGCGGGATGTTGCATTTCAAATACATATGATGCTA